ATTTCTATATCAAAGAAACTAAAATTATCTCGAGAGAGAAAAGAAATGAAGAAAAGTTATAATTTAACAACTTATTTTTACTGTTTGGTGAGTTTTTTTCTATCTAAACAGATTTGAATTTCATTGCCATTACCATTACCCGGCTCAGTTAAGCTCCTCTTCATCAGGGGACTACGATCATCCATCAAGGTGAACTATCCGGCTGCATGCGTGTATATATTTAAAGAAAAAAATTGAACTTTTCCATTAATGTGTTTTTGAATGTAAAAACTGAAGTATTACCATTATTGGTTATTATAGATTTTCCATATGGTAAATTAGTAAAAACCACGATGTTTAATATTTACCATTAATGGTAATTCATTTATGGTAAATATTAGACATCATGGTTTTTACCAATTTACCATATGAGAAATCTATAATAACCAATAATGGTAAGTTTTTACATTGATAGTATGCATGGTATAAATTCTTCAAAAAACCATTCAAAAACCCATTAAATGGAAAATGGAAACTTGTTCTCGTTGTACTCAGACGAACTTGTATGTGGAAAAAGCAGACGAACTTGTATATCAGGAAAAAATATATCAGGCATGATTGGTTTCCAGGATCATTGCCATTATTCGGAGTTTCGGTGGCGCAATTGCATGTCAGAGCGATGGCGCAATTGCATGTCAGAGAGATGGCGCAATTGCATGTCAGAGAGATGGCGCAATCGTCAAGGCCTAATACCACGAGTGCTTTCGTCGGCGAAATGCGAAAAATTTCGCGCGAAATGAATTAGGTGCATGCACAGTAAAGATAAGTTTATAGGCTTCGCGAGAGAGAAAAATGGTTTCACCAATGAGTAGAAGTCAGTTCTACTCACGGCGAAAGCGAAAGAAGTGGTGAAATTTAATACAATCACTCATGTGCAACCATCCGTATTTCGCAGACACAATTTCTCACGAAGAATGTCGCAATGGTCAGAGGAAGCGCTTTTCACCTCTGAGATCGTGGGTTCAATTCTCGTCACGGACTCTAGACATTCGTGTGAAAAGAGTCAATCAACGCTCTTGTACCGAAAGTCGGGGGTTTTCTCAGGGTACTCCAGTTTCCTCCCACAGGGAATAGAGACCTTACGATTTTAGGACGGCAACCGCGACGGCAACGGCTACCAATACAATAGATCATTGAGAAGAATTGAGTAATTACAATAAATGAATAATTTAGACATTGTCCTCGCTCTGTTTACAACGCCAAATCACAGATTTTCACGTCTTGACACAACGGCTGCATTCCAAGCCACAACAAGTGCGACTTCAAAGTGGGTTTAGCAGAACTCTCCCCAACCATAAAACCCATGTCTTCAACTTCTAAGACTGTATTAAATTCATACGATTGATAATATACGACGAACTATCGACTACCATTTATTTGAAGGAGTTTGTTTTGGCCGTCGTCGTCGCGGTTACCGTCCCAAAATCGTAAGGTCTCTAATGTTGACAGGGTGGGTTGGGATTATCCCCTAACTGACCCTTCCACCGTAGCTGTGCTTCGTGATCAGACACGAGTCATAAGGTGGCTGCCAGAGGCGTCCTTAGAAAGTCTTCGACTCCATCAGGTTGAGCTGCGTCCTTCGTAATTCAGTTTACCTCTCAGCTGCAAGTAAGGATGATTAGCACACCCCTGACCCCCACTTACTCTCTTATTATTCATGGCTTATTTTAGCTATTACGTCTGGGCAGTTTGTCTTTACGCTAAGTCGGATTATTCGGCAGACAGAGGATAATCTCTCTTTAATATAGGGTGAGGCGGTTAATCGATAAACCGAAAAAACCCCGATGTTTTTTGAAAACCTATTCAACCGATATTGTTCTAGGTAAAAATCCGAATTACCAGAGAAAGTTCGGGAAAACTTGTTTGAAACTCAGTAATATTGAAACAAAATGCCACCATGTCAAGATCACGCTTCCTGTTCAACGTTTTCTGACGAATTTTAAAACCGTGAGAAAATAGCATTTTTCTCACGGTTTAAATTTATGCAATTCAAATTTTAAAACCGTGAGAAAATGGCACACTTAACGTTGGCGTACCGCTTATATATTAAGGCACTACCATGCAATTAATACACTTGTTTTTAAAACTAAAGTCTTGAACGTATAGCGTGAAGTTTGATCTATATATAACTGTAGTATATTTTGACATAAGTTATATATAAAAATTGATTTTTTCAGATGATTTTCAGTTTTTACTCTGAACCGAGGCACCTTATACTTTAGCAATGATTGTTACAAGTACTAACGCCTGTATTATAAAAGTTCACTCACGCTCGCCATAGATATCTTATATACACTAGATAGCGCATCTCTTTTAGTAAAATTGAAGCCAAGAATATTCCAGCGGTTACCCCCATTTGAATAGATGGCGGCCATGTTGGAGTTTCCGACTCGCTATAAATAAACGCTTAAAAAAACAACAATAACTTTCATCATTTGAATAGTTTGAAAATGTATTTGGAATAGGTTTAACTTAATGTTTAAGTTCCCTGTTTAAGAAATAGAAAAGATACGAGTCTTCTCATTTCATGTGAATATCCTAAGTCTGCAATCACGGCTTCAATTTTTGAATTGCAGAATAATTAGATGCACTATCTAGTGTATATAAGGTATCTATGACGCTCACGCTCAAAGAGTGGAGGTTCAATCTGAGCTTCCCTTTATGGCGGGTGATGTGTGTCAAAATTCAATAACACGTTTGGCAATGATAACGTACCATTTTGCTACAATAATAACACATTTGGCAACGATAAAGTAACCTTTTGCTATAATTTTGTGGCGGTTACAAGACATTTGTTAACAATAACAAAACATTCAATGACAAAGTATTAGTATTTTGCAACAACATAAACGTATCGTTTTAATATTTGCCAACAATCGCACATTTGGCAAGTACAATCCCATGATGCAATTGGGCACTAGAGCTCCAAATGGTGCGAAAACGGTGCATAAATGGCGCGTAATTTATAATATTTTCACACAAAATAGCGATCAAGATATCGAAGAAAACGGAGTATGAACTGCTCTTATAACGCGATTGAAAATGTTATTGACTGATGTAACGGAATGCCTTTCAACAGAGCTTGATGATGTTATTGATCGTATTCGCGATTTTTCTGAAGACCTTTATCGATGCCTAGCAAATCTGACAGCACGAAATCCCGAAATTTACAGCGAATTGCTACATCAGGCTCTTCTCATAGATGTCATACAACGTCATATTTTGAATAATGAAAATTATGGACCGGAAACATTGGGAATCATCCTAAGGTCAATGCCAGGTAGACCAAAATTTGAAATTTGAGAGACCAGCTGCAGTATTTGCAGATGTATTTTGTGGTGAATTGGCCACACCATCCAGTAGCTGTACAATTATATATCGAGCTTGTAGTAGAGATGACTGAATATCATCTGACGCCGAAGCCATGTTTACTTAAGAGCACATGTAATCCAATATCGCGAAAATAATTACGCGCCATTTATGCACCGTTTTCGCACCATTTGGAGCTACTGCCCAATTGCATCACGGGATTGTACTTGCCAAATGTACGATTGTTGGCAAATATTAAAACGATACGTTTATGTTGTTGCAAAATGATACTTTGTCATTGAATGTTTTGTTATTGTTAACAAATGTCTTGTAACCGCCACAAAATTATAGCAAAAGGTTACTTTATCGTTGCCAAATGTGTTATTAATGTAGCAAAATGTTACGTTATCATTGCCAAATGTGTTATTGAATTTTGACACACATCACCCGCCATATCCCTTGAGTGTCAATGCAGTTTTTGAGTATCAAAGGGCGAGTATAGTCACAGAGTAAGGTACGACATTAACCCTCCAGCTATTCAAAAACAGCATTGGCACTCAAGGGAAGCTCAGATTGAACCTCCACTCTTTGAGTGTGAGCGTGAGTGAGCTTTCAGAATACAGGCGCTAGCCTTTGAAAATATTTGGGCGTGTTTTTTTACACGCAAAATCGTGCTAACCATGCATTCATGTTTTTTTTAAACAGACAAAATTGATCACAAATTTTGAATCAGAAATCAATGACAAAGTGATAGATATTGAACTGATCCAAAAACAGATGACGGGACAAATGGAAAAACGCCCCGAGTCAGTGACACGTGGATACAGTACGGTAAGATGACTTGAATATTCTTGAATTTATTCCAACGCACATTTAGATGATACCGTTTACTAGAGGTGGAAAAACGTATTTTAGGATTTATTCAGCAGATATTGGGTTTTTTATATATTTTGATAACTCTACTTTCAAATTATATTATTTTTAGTAACAGATAGTTCGTTGCTATGACGACATACGTGTACGAAATTCACTCCAAAATGGCCTATCGCCTCGTATAGTTGGAAAAAAAGCATGCTGACCCTCAATTTTTTTTCGTGCATTATTTTACTTGGACGAAAAGCTAACAATTAGCAAAATATAAAAAAATTCTGTAATGCCATTTTTTTGGAAAATGCGAAAATGTCATATTCTTCGGTAAAATTTTTTTGGCATTGCAGAATTTTTTTATTTTTTGTATAATGAAAGTTTTTAGCAGTGCAATACAGCATGCAAAATTTGAACATAAGTCACCAGACAAAATAAAGAGATATAGCGCTGCATTGTTTTTCTAAAATGGAAAATTCTAATGACGTCAGCAATTGTCATAAAATGCTATAGAACACGTGCAATGGCGTGATATGGCGCGAGCACATGCGGCTAAATCGAGGAATGCACATTTGCCCGACGCCATCTTGAATTCCGCGCAATGACCTGGGTCTCAGTTATGATGTCATAGTATCAACCATGAATGATGTAATCAAAACAAACGTATTCGCGGGAAAATTAAAATAGTGGATTTTGATTGGATAATTGTCGCTCGCTCATTGCCACTTTATAAATAGTCTATTAAAAATGGTCATAATAAAGCTAGTTTACAGCAGCAAAAATGACAATAAATACACTTTTAATGCTTTTAAATCATAAATAATCATATTATAATGATTTAATATAGCTTTTGATATCATATAAAGGAAAATAAACCGGCCGAAAATACAAAATAACAACATCTCGCGTATCGACATTTTTCACAGTGATTTGTATGCATTAATCGACACTTAGTCTCTGGCACGCAAATTTACTTTCGTATAGTAATAGCATAGTTGCCCGGGTTTCTTTTGTTTCAACAGGGTCGATTACTAACTAATCGCCCGCTGTAGCGGGCGATTAGTTCTAATCGCCCGCTAGAGCGGGCGATTAGAACTAATCGCCCGTTACCAAGGGTCACACCTTTGTCTTCCTGACGACTACGCATTAGGCAAGTGCCTCACCGCACATAATCGTGCAAGGA